CGCAGGTGCGCTGAAAATGCAACAAGAGGACAGCTCCGGCCATCGTCCAGCAAGCGAAGGTGAATACTCCGTGACCGAAGACAAGGACATGCTGGATTCGCCGACCAAAAGACAGAAATGCAGCGTTTTCAGAAGCATCGCTTCCATGTTGTAAAGTGAACAATGTAACGTTGAACATTCGTGTGTCATTCGTATCCTAGTCGCCTGTTCCACTTTCCGTGTGTGCTGTTTCCTTCGATTTGTTTTGCTCTCTGTGTTCGTTCGTCCGTCCGTTCCGGTCGTCGGCAACGAGTGCCAGCCGCCCTCGATGAAACGGAACATTTCGTCAGCATGTGTGGCGTTTATTATTTTTGGAATTTTACTGTAATCCATAAGTAAAGCTTATTGATTGCACACGGCAGCTGCAAACGCTTTATTATTGTCATGCTCACCATCCCTCGGTGGTAGCCGATGCACTTAGGTACTCGTGGGACGCGCAGCGGAGCGCTGAAGTGATCAGCAACTTCGAAGCAGCGCGTCATATGCTGAGGAATGACCCGCTGCCTACGTCTCCAAGCCCAGCCAGATGTCGAAATGTGTAGAGCCACGGGGCAAGGTCATACACGAGTACTGCTGAATTAATGGCAATTCACCATCTAAATGAGCGGTTTACATGCGCCATCTCTACAACCACAATAAACACTTCATCTGGATCATGAACGATCGTATAAACTAGCTTCATTGCATTGAGTGGAAGACGGAACGAATATTTAATTTCTCGTCTCCATTATAACATTTCGCTTATATCCCAGTTTCACCGCGGAAGACGTGCTCAGACGTTTCTACTGTGGAGACTTCAATTCGACCAAAGTACCTTATCAAATTTTAGGGTGTGTGCATCGGTTCGCCGCTGTGTTAACACTAAGGGTCTGACATGGGCCTGAAAATGACCGGCTAAAGAGACCACAGTAAGCTGGAAGGCATCTTAGCATAATTGGTGGCTCATACGCCTTGGATTTTATCTTCTCTCACAAATTATGTCAGGTTTTAAACATAAATTTAAGATGCTTCATTCAGCATTCCTTCAGGGTGAAATTCATCACTTTCAACGATATCACAATATGATTGACAAAGCTGAAGTAAATTTCAGAAAGGCATAGAATCTGCCAGAAACTGCTCAACATTCACATCTAGAGATTTAAAAAATATTTATAAAAGTGCAGAACTATTCAATGACCTTTACCTCACGTTTCTTACTTTTTGAGTCTAACTTCATTTCTAGTTAACTGATCTGTAGAATAGTATCAAAGATTCCTCAAGCCTTATAGAACGACATTATGTTATTGTCTGTTGTGATAATCACTTTGTTCAGTTTATATTAGCAGGTGGTACATGACTTTTATGTCTGTTGTATTTCCAACTTTTCAGTACTATAAGGTACAGGCTGTGCTTCATTATGATTTTTCTCTAAATTCAGATCTACCTTTGCCTATTGGATGATTGCTAAACATCTCATGTGAAAAATCGGGAACCGAACTGAAGAATTTCTGTATAGCTGATTTACCCAAGAGGTCGAACGTTTGTTTTCTAATCACTTATACTACTGATGATGAAGGCGCGTGGAGTTTAAAACAGCCACTTCATATACGGCCTGCCATGCAGTGTCTATCATATACCAAAGTCAGTGTTACTGCACTGTTCTTCATCATACCTGTTGGTGCTCCGTCTGAAAAACAGTTCCTCTTTTGTGTGTCAAATAATAGTACACACTGTCCGATGTCACAGAAGGGACTTCTGTAGAGAAGGATTTTCCTTTTTCAACCCAAATTTTGAACCTTCTTTCGAAAGCATGAAAACCAAGTCAATCGACCTGTTTATCTGTAACTGACTTTATGGCCAACATATTGCTGATGATGATGGGACATAAGTAATCAGAGTCGCAGAACTCCTCTATCCTCTACCGTTTTAGCCCTCCATTACACTTGAACGTCTGTCGTGCTTGAATGAAACTCGATCAAGTTAGTCAGCAAGTCAGTTTCGATGACCGAATGTACCAAATCTTGTGCCTCAGTTTGAGCTTTGGCAGAAAGTAAGCAGAGTCTGAAGCAGAATCCTTCGATCCTTTGCTCCAGGCTATACTTGGCCGTTCCCGAGGTCTTCGATCCGTCGGTTGCGCAAGTAGATGTTGTTTTGCCTTCGTTTCTGAAAACGTTCACAACACGTGTTCAAACTATTGCAGCGCTGTGGCTTCTCTATCTTTCTTTGGTAGCTTTTCAACTTTTGTTCATGTTTGTTTCGTAATCCACGTCTAACCTGCATTAAGAAACTGTTGTTTGAGGAGCTTATTTTCTTCCACTTGTGTATGAGGGGCAAATATCCGCAAGAGAAGTT